AAAGGTCAGAAGTTTGAGTACCAGGCCTGGCCAGGTGATCTGCCTGCCTCCGCCTCCCAAAGTTCTGGGATTACAGGCGTGAGCCACCATGCTGGGCCCCTTCATGGTTTTGTTAAAGGTGAAAAACACCTGTGCCCCCAGCAGGGCTGCTGCTCACTCTGTGGTTTCCTATAGGGGCTACGGCCTCTTCTAGAGGGTTCTGTGTCCCTGGCTGAACTACCTCCCTTCTTCCAATGTGGTTGTGGGTTTCTCCCAGGAGCTCTGAGTGGAGTCAAACCACTTACCTGTTCACCTAGACCACCACTTGTTCCTTCAACCTTAAATCGTAACTCTCATCCTTTTTGAAGCAGAAAATGTTTTATGAAATATTCTCTACTTTGATATGTGTCAGAATCCCCAGGGAGTTTGTTGAATATGGACACTAGGAGTCCACCCCTGGAGATTCTGATTCTATAGGTTTGGGTGAACCAGGGTATCTGTGTTTTGACGAAATCAGGTGAACTTTTGAAAGGAAAGACTATTATACAGAAAAGCCCAGGATGTTTGAGCCATTTCTGTATAATCTTTGCATCCTATTTATTTCAGTTGTGGTGATATATATTGCCTGCTGGCCCCAGATGTGGAGTTCCAGAGAACTTTTTAAAATAATAATAAACTCATAGGAATAGTATGTTTACCCAATAATAAGCCTGGCCACTAACACAGAGTTTCTTTGCATTTTAATGGAATTTTCGGACATACGAGTAGGAAATCTGTTGATCCAATGTTGGTCAGGCTCTAATTAGCTAGTAAATGTATCTGCCAGGTTTGCCAAAAGAGAATTAAACAAATTACTCAATAAATATTTTTAGACCCCCCCCCCCCCCCCCCCCCCCCCCCGGGGAAAAAAAAAAAAAAAAAAAAACTTTCAAAATGTGAGGCCCAGGGTTGAGAGCTAAATGGAGAACAGACAGGAATCGTAAAAATGGCCCCTGCATGCGGAAAGATGAAGAAAAACAAAATTACTTCAGTCAAGGCAAACCAAAAAGGGTAGAATGCAGAACCGCGTGCCAGCTTGGGAAGGGTGTGTGTGAGCGGACAGGCCCTCTGTTTCTGTCTCTTGCTTGAGTGAAGCACATTCCACTATCGCATTGTATACATTTAACTCTTGATTTAAAAGCTCCCAGTGAAGCAGCAGGCAGGTTCTGGCTGAGCCTTTATGCTGTGCACACCCCTTTCTCATAGCATGGGGATCAGAACTTCACTCTGGATGTGTCCCAAGAGTTTCTCACATTCTAGAAGTTTCAGAAATCAAAACCAGGGTCCAAAACCCTGTTCTGTTTTTAGTTTTTGGCACTGACATGATATAAATAGATACAGTGACTTCAAGAACACAGCGGCCTTTTCTCCTTTGGTTAAGTGTAGTCATGGACATAGACGATGTTGAGACGAAAAGCAAGAAAACAGGGTTTACTGGAAATGAAGCAGGGGCAAGAAAACATTACTGGAATCAAACAAGGTCAGAGTCAGAAGTTGTAGAAACAATGTCTGTGATTGGTGTCGGGGAGGACATGATAACAGTCAGTGTTTATGTTGCACTGACAGCCCCATAATGAGCACTTAGTGTAATAACTTACTCCTCATGCAACACTATAAGGTAGGTGCTATTCTTGACCACATATTATGAACGAGGAAACCAAAGCACTGAGAAATTAAGTAACTGCCCAAGATTACATAGCTACCAACCGGTTATGCTGCAGATCCAAGTTTTTCACTCCTGTCATATACTACATAATGTCTGTGGAGGCTTTTACTATTTTCCAGAACATTCACTCATATTCGGGATTCTTGCAAAGCTACACAGCTGAAGAAAATAAGCTTAGGAAACTCAACTAACATGCCTAAGGCCTGGTGAGGAGCAAGTGAAGGTGTGAGTGCTGGAGTTAGACCTCTTGGATTGAAAACCTCTCTGCCTTGGGCAAGTTACACAACTTCTGAGCTCAGTTTTCAGAATTATTGTGAAGTAATATATGTAAAATCTTAGCACATAGATCTTAGTTATTATCATGATGGTCAATAAGACTTTTTCACCAGTAACAAAACTAGGTCTTTGATTCTAAAAGCTCGTCTTCTTTCTAGCATCTCAGTGTACCTAACTGCTTGACTTTTAAAGAAAGGGAAACCCTTCTATTTAAGAGGAAAATGAGTGAGCTGATCCCATGTTTCAATCATTCAATTCCTTAGGGGGGTCTTCCTTGAGCTCTGTGTCACAGTTCCACCTGATCCTTACGGATGTGAATGACAACCCTCCCAGGCTGGCCAAGGACTACACGGACTTGTACTTCTGCCATCCCCTCAGTGCACCTGGAAGTCTCATTTTCGAGGCTACTGATGATGATCAGCACTTATTTCGGGGTCCCCACTTTACATTTTCCATCGCCAATGAAAACCTACAGAACGACTGGCAAGTTTCCAAAATCAATGGTGAGTTGTCAGAAATACATGGGAAAAAACACAGATGGATGATGAAAGTAGGTTTTATTTAACTTGGTGGGTTTGCAGTACTCAGCACAGAGCTTTCTCTCATGCTCCAGGAAGGAAGTTCATGCTTTGGAAGCTTGCCCAGGGAAGGACTCCAGAGGGGACAAAGCCCCAGGCTTTCAAGAGAGGAAAGATTATGACCACACAGCATTCCCTTGGTGTAGATGAACAGTTGGATGACCTAAGCATCATTTGCAAAATTTTCAATGACAGATGGAAAGCAGATTTTATAGACATTTTTAAAAACTTTGAGATTGAATATTTTATATATATATTCAAAGTATACAATTTTATGAGAATTGATTATGTGTAAATGCCACTGACGCCATCAACACATTCAAGACAATGAACATTTCTACCACCCCCAGAAGATATTTCATGCCCTATTATAATCTCTGCTTCCCACCCATCCCCTCTCCCCAGGCAACCATCAATGTGCTTTCCATTACTATAGTTTTCATTTTCAATAAGTTTATCTGAATAGAATAGTATAGTATAGTATAGTATGTATACCTTTTTTGGTCTGGTTTCTTTCATCTCATTTTGAGATGTATCTGTGTTATTACATGTATCAATACCTCATTCCTTTTTATTGAGGGGTAGTGTTCCATTGAATGACTATACCTGTTCACCGGTTGATTGTAACTCCAACTTTTGCTATTACAAAGCTGCTGTGAGGATTTGTGAACAAATATTTTGTGTAGGGACATACGTTTGCAGTTTTCTTGGTTAAATACTGAGGAGTAGAATGGCTTGGTCATATGGGAGGTATATGATTAAGTTGTGGAGCTTCATGTCTCTCCCTCTCCTTGTGCCTCCCTGTGTCTGAGACACAATATTGAAATTAGGCCAATTAATAACCTTAGAATGGCATATAAGTGTTCAGGTGAAAGGAAGAGTCACACATCTGTCACTTTAAATCAAAAGCTAGACGTGATTTAGCTTAGTGAGAAAGTTATGTTCATAGCCAAGATTGGCCCAAAACTAGGTCTCTTGCATGAAATGCTTAGCCAAGTTGTGAATGCAAAAGAAAAGTTATTGAAGGAAATTAAAAGTGAACCCACAGTGAGCACACAAATAATAATAATAATAATAATAATAAAGCAAAATAGCCTTATTGCCATTAAGGCAGAAAGTTTGAGGAGTCTGGATAGAAGATTAAAACAGCAACAATATTCCCTTAAACCAAAATCTAACCCAGAGCAAGGCCTTAACTCCTCACTTCTGTAAAGACTGAGAGAGGTGAGGAAACTGCAAAATAAAAGTTTGAAGCTAGCAGAGGTTGATTTATGATGTTTAAGGAAAGAAGCTATTTCCATAACAAAGTGCAAAGTGATGCAGCAAATTGAAGTGGAAGCAAGTAATCCAGAAGATCTGAGATCATTAATGAAACTGGCTACACTAAACAAGCTTTTCAATGTTGATAAAACAGCCTTCTTTTGGAAGACAATGCCATCTTTATCTTGGACATCCATAGCTAGAGAAGTAAATGCCTGGCTTCAAAGCCTCAAAGGACAGGCTGGCTTTTATTAGGACTAATGCAACTGGTGACTTTAAGTTAAAGCCAACCCTAATTTAGCATTCCTAAAATACTAGGGCCCTTAAGAATTATGCTAAATCTACTTTGTCTGTGCTCTGTCAATGGAACAACAAAGCCCAGATGACAGCACATCTGTTTACAGCATAGTTTACTGAATATTTTAAGCCCGCTGTTGAGACCTACTCTCTCCCAAAAAAGATTCCTCTCAACATATTACTGCTCATTGACAATGTACGTGGTTACTCAAGAGCTCTGGTGGAGATGTACAAGGAAATGAATGTTGTTTTCATGCCTGCTAACACATCCATTCTGCAGGCCCCAGATCAAGGAGTAATTCTGATTTTCAAATTATTTAAGATATACATTTCATAAGGTTATAGCTGCTATTAGATAGTAATTCCTCTGATGGATCTGGGCAAAGTAAATTGAAAGCCTTCTGAAAAGATTCACCAGTCTAGATGTCATCAAGAACATTTGATTCTTTTTTTTTTTTTTTTTTTTGAGATGGAGTCTCGCTCTGTCGCCCAGGCTGGAGTGCAGTGGCCGGATCTCAGCTCACTGCAAGCTCCGCCTCCCGGGTTTACGCCATTCTCCTGCCTCAGCCTCCCGGGTAGCTGGGACTACAGGCGCCCACCACCTCACCGGGCTAGTTTTTTGTATTTTTTAGTAGAGACGGGGTTTCACCGTGTTAGCCAGGATGGTCTCGATCTCCTGACCTCGTGATCCGCCCGTCCTGGCCTCCCAAAGTGCTGGGATTACAGGCAAGAACATTTGATTCTTGATGACATCTTAAAAAAGGTGATTCATGGGAGGAGGTTGAAATATACACATTAGTAGGAGTTTGGAAGAAATTGATTCCAACCCTCATGGATGACTTTGAGGGGTTCAAGATTTCAGCGGAGGAGTCGCTGAAAATGTGGTGAAAAAAACAATAGAGCTAGAATTAGAAGCAGAACCTTGATGATGTGACTGAATTGCTGCAATCTCATGATCAAACTGGAATGAATGACAGTTGCTTCTTACAACTGAACAATGTGGGTTTTGTTTGCTTGTTTGAACAATGGAATCTGCTTCTGGTGAAGATGCCATGCACATTGTTGAAATAACAAGCAAGGATTTAGAATATTCCATAAACATAGTTGATAAAACAGTGGCAGTGTTTGAGAAGATTTACTCCAATTTTTGAAAGATGTTCTCTTGTGGGTAAAATGCCATCAGCCAGCATCACATGCTACAGAGAACTCTCTCATGAAAGGAAGTCAACAAGTGCAACAAACTTCATTGTTGTCTTATTTTCAGAAATTGCCACAGCCACCCCAGCCTTTAGCAACCACCAACATTGAGACAGGAAATGATTAGCAGCAAAAAGATTGACTCATTGAAGGGTCAGATAATCATTAGCATTTTTTGGCAACAAAGTACTTTTAAATTAAGGTATGGACATTAGGGTTGTTTTTTTTTTTTTTTTTTTTTGGTATGATGCTATTAACAGTCCAGAGTATAATATAAGCTGTTATTTCAGTAGAAAAACAAAAATTTGTGTGACTCGCTTCACTGAGCTATTTGCTTTATTGCAGTGATCTGGAATCAAACCCATAATATTGCTGAGATATTCTTGCATAGGGGGTGTGGTAAAGACCAAAGTTGATTGTTTTTAACATAGCTATCTAACTGTTCTAACACCATTTGTTTAAAACATCCTTTTTACATTGAATTATCTTAACAACTTTGGCAAAAATCAAGTGACCACCTATATATAAATCTAGTTCTGGATTTTTTTGTTTCATCAATCTGTTTATTTTTATACCAGTAAAACATTGTCTTGATTACTGTAGCTGTATAAGGCTTGAAATCAGGTAGATTAATTTTTCTGACTGTTCTTTTTCAAAATTCCTTCATTCTGTCTTGTTCATTGCTATATAAATTTTAGAATGTAGCCCGTTCCTTCCTGTTGAGATTGTGTTGAAGCTATTGGGGAATCTGGAGGAGAACTGACATATTAACAAAATTAAGTCTTCCAACTCATGAACGTGGTATATGTCTCCATTTATTTAGCTCTTTAATTTCTTTCAGCAATGTGCTTTCAGTGTATAGTTCTTGCAAAATTTTCCCTAAGCATTTCAGATTTTTGATATTTTAAATATTTCTAGATATAGGAATGTAATGATTTCTGTATACTGATCTGTATTCTACAGCCTTGCTGACCTTGTTTTTTTAGATTTCATAGATTTTCTACACAGACAATCATGTTGTCTGTGAATACTGACTTTTTCCTTTTCAATCTGTATGCCTTTTGTTTATTACTGGCTGAAACCTTCAGTGAAATGTCAAATAGAGGTAGTAAGAGCAGAAATACTTGGCTTGTTCATGATCTTAGGAAGAAAGCATTTAGCCTTTCACCATTAAGTAGACGTTAGCTGTGGGGTTTGTTTCTGTAGGTGATCTTTATTAGGTTGAGGACTTTGACTTTTATTCCTATTTGAAGGTGGTTTTTTTTTTTTTTTCTAAATTGGAAATGGATATTAAATTGTTCAAGTGCTTTTGCTCCATGTATTGACTATGTGGCTGATTTGATTTTTTGGGCCTATTAATTGATAAATTACATCAACTTTTGAATCTAAAATCACCTTCCTGGGATAACACCTACTTAGTGATGAAATATTACCATGTTTATGTATTGTTGGATTTGCTAAAACTTAATTTTTGCATCTATATTCATGAGGGATGTTGGTCTGTCTATATATTTTGCCTTGTAGAATGAGGAAGCATTCCACCTGTTTATCTTCAATTATCTGGTCAAGTTTGCATAAAAGTGGTATTTCTTCTTAAAGCTTGAAAGAATTTGCCAGTAAAGCTATCTGGGCCTGGTGTATTTTTAAGAAGTTTTAACTACAAATTCAATTTTATTTTATAGATATAGAAAAATTCAATTTATATATTTCTTTTTGGTTGAGCTTGTTAGCTTGTACCTTTCAAATAATTCATCTATTTCATTAATCTAATTTATTGATGTAGTTCATGATATTAATATCTGTAGAATACATAGTGATATCGCTCATTCTGATATTGGCAAATTATCTTTTTTCCTGATAATCTGGCTAGAAGTTTATTTTATTGATATTTTCAAAGAACCAGCTTTTGGTTTCATTTTTTTCTGCTTTTGTTTTATATTTCGCTGGCCAGATCTTTATTGTTTCCTTTATTCTTCTTACATTGTGTTTTTGTTCTTGTTGTTTTCATTAAGGTGGAAGCCGATGCCATTACTTTGAGATCTTTTTGTTAAAAAGACAGGGCCTCTGTCACCCGGGCTGCAGTGCAGTGGTGTGATCATGGCTTGCTGCAGCCTTGAACTCCTGGGCTCAGACGAGCTTTCCTGCTTCAGCCTCCCGTGTAGCTGGGACTACAAGTATGAGCCACCACACTTGGCTAATTTTTTATTTTTAAATTTTTTGTAGAGATGGGGGTTACAGTATGTTGCTCAGGCTTGTCTCAAACTCCTGGGTTCAAGTGAGCCTCCCACCTCAGTCTCCCAAAATGCTGGGATTACAGGAGTGAACCACCATGCCTGGCCCACAAAATTTGATACATTGTGTTTTCCCTTTAGATTTCTTTTGTGATCATGTGTTATTTAGAAGTGTGTTATTTAGTTTCCAAATATTCTGGGAATATTTCCTATACTTTTCTAACTTCTAATTTAATTACATCATAACCAGAAAACATGATTAGAATAATTTTAAATTTAGACATTTTTTTCTTGTAGTACTTCAAAGGTATTTCACCACTTTTTTTTTTTTTTTTTTTTTTTTTGGAGACAGTCTTACTCTGTCGCCCAGGCTGGAGTGCAGTGGCACAATCTCAGCCTGCCAAGTTCAAGTGATTCTCATGACTCAGTCTCCCTAGTAGCTGGGATTACAGGTTCACAGAGACAGGGTTTTTCCATGTTGGCCAGACTGGTCTCAAACTCCTGGCCTCAAGTAATCGCCTGCCCAGGCCTCCCAAAGTGCTGGGATTATAGGCGTGAGCCACCGGGGGTGCCCTGCCCAATATGGTTCTTCCTTGTTCCATTGAATGTTTGTATTCTTTTTTCTCTGGGTATTTTTAAGATATTCTCTTATTAGTTTTAAGTAATTTGATGCTTATATTGCCTTGGTGGTGTTTTATTCATTTTTCTTGTTCCTGAAGTTTGATGATCATCTTGGATCTGAGGATTTGGAGTTTTCATCAAACATGGAAAAAATATTAGCCATTGTCTTATCAAAAATGTTTTTCTCTGCACTATCTTTCTTGGCTTTCAGGAATTTGATTACACATGTATTAGGCCACCTGAAGTTGTCTCAAAGCTTACTTTTTTTTCTGTTTCTTTTTGGATAGCTTTATTTCTATATCTTCAAGTTTACTGTCTTTTCTGCTACATTCAATGGCTATATTATAGCCATTAATCCAACCTAGTCTATTTTTATATCAAACTTTATAGTTTTCTTCTATAAATTAACTCGTGTTTTTAAAATGTTCTGTATCTATCTACACTTCTTAGTCTTGTAGCTTCTTGAACATATAGAATATAATAACTGTTTCATTCATGTCTTTTCCCACAATTTAGGTAATATGTGTAATTTCTGGATAGGTTCTGAAACTGGATCCTTACTCCTTATACGAAAATTAATTCAAGATGGATTAAAGACTTAAATGTTAGACTTAAAACCATAAAATCCCTAGAAAAAAACCTAGGCAATACCATTCAGAACATAGGCATAGGCAAGGACTTCATGATTAAAACACCAAAAGCAATTGCAACAAAAGCCAAAATTGACAAATGGGATGTAAGTAAAGAGCTTCTGCACAGCAAAGGAAACTACCATCAGAGTGAACAGGCAACATACAGAATGGAAAAACATTTTTGCAGTCTACCGTTCTGACAAAGGGCTAATATCCACAATCTACAAAGAACTCAAACAAATTTACAAGAAAAAAATAACCCCATCAAAAAGTGGGTGAAGGATATGAACAGACACTTCTCAAAAGAAGTTTATGCAGCCAGCAGACACATGAACATGATCATCACTGGTCATCAGAGAAATGCAAATCAAAACCACAATGAGATACCATCTCATGCCAGTTAGAATGGCAATCATTAAAAAGTCAGGAAATAACAGATGCAGGAGACGATGTGGAGAAATAGGAATGCTTTTACACTGTTGGTGGGAGTGTAAATTAGTTCAAGCATTGTGGAAGACAGTGTGGCGATTCCTCAAGGATCTAGAACCAGAAATACCATTTGACCCAGCAATCCCATTACTAGGTATATACCCAAAGTATTATAAACCATGCTACTATAAAGACACATGCACACGTATGTTTATTGCAGCACTATTCACAATAGCAAAGACTTGGAACCAACCCAAATGCCCATCAATGATAGACTGGATTAAGAAAATATGGCATATATACACCATAGAATACTATGCACATAAAAAAGGATGATCATATCCTTTGCAGGGATATGGATGAAGCTGGAAACCATCATTCTCAGCAAACTATCACAAGGACTGAAAACCAAACACTGCATGTTCTCACTCATAGGTGGGAATTGAACAATGAGAACACTTGGTCAAAGGGTGGGGAACATCACACACTGGAGCCTGTCCGGGGGCGGGGGAGCTGGGGGAGGGACAGTATTAGGAGAAATATCTAATGTAAATGACGAGTTGATGAGTACAATAAATCAACATGACACGTGTATACCTATGTATCAAACCTGCACACTGTGCACATGTACCCTAGAACTTAAAGTATTTAAAAACACACACACACACACAGGGTCAAACCTAAAAGATGACCCATGATTTAAAAAAAAATGGCCCTGAACTATAGTGCTGAAGTGCTATCTAGAGTTCCTAAGCACAGGAAGGCTGTGATGTGTGCCTTACAGAGAAAAATTGTGGTTTGGGTCACAGATTAAAAGTAATGTCCAAAACTGTAATTATTTTCCACCAACCTAAACATGTGTTTGATAAGCTTTGTTCAGGAAGTTTTAGTGCTGTTAGATGTGAGTTAAATGTTAGAATGAACAATATATGTTAAAATAAGATATCTTTAAACAGAAACACACAAAAAACCAAGGTTATATATTGATCAGTTAGGGAAAATGTGACTAGAAGCTCACAGGAAACTAACTCTGTCTTTCCTCTAGGAGCAATGGTTCAGCATTCATTAATTCAGTGTTTGGGGCAACTATAGAACATAAGTGCTACAAATGATAATTGACTGTATTTAGTATCAATTTCTACAGAGAAATCATGAATTAAGAACTTAAAGGATGCTTTAACTCTTTCTTACCTTATGGGAAGATACATGTGGAATGATGTGGATGATACTTTAGGCAGTTTAACTCATATCCAGCCATGTTCCAGTCAACCTTAGTATGTGATACAAAATGAGCTTTATTCCCGCTAATCCAGGGTCTGAAGTTGTATTTTCACATGTTTTTGTTTTTGTGTTTTTTTCCTGTCCTGGCAGGTACTCATGCCCGACTGTCTACCAGGCACACAGACTTTGAGGAGAAGGAATATGTTGTCTTGATCCGCATCAATGATGGGGGTCGGCCACCCTTGGAAAGCACTGTTTCTTTAACAGGTAGATATTCTGCTATAGGCAACTCAGGCTAGTATCTGTCACCATGGGCCATTTGAAGAGATTCTTGTCTTTGATATGGGATTCTGCAACTATTCACTTGAGAATTTATCCTACCAAATACTGTCCTGTTTTTCAGTTACATTCTGCAGTTGTGGGGAAGATGGTTGTTTCCGGCCAGCAGGTCACCAGCCTGGGATACCCACTGTGGGCATGGCAGTTGGTATACTGCTGACCACTCTTCTGGTCATTGGTGAGTGTAATTTCTTAATTCAAAGAGTCATATCCTGGGCCTCAGAAATGTGAGCTTATCTCAGGGCCTGTCTTCCTGGATTGGTCTGGTGGCTGCTCAAATGGCAACCCAGGCAATAGCCGAGAAGGTAGATCACCAGCAAATTACATCAGACTTTCTTGGAGTTACAGCTTTAGTACCACCCTCTGTCTCTATTGCCTTATTAATTTAGAAATATAAGGGGATTTATGGTCATCAATTGTTATATATTATGCCTAGTTACAAAGCTTTTGTGATAAAGAGGGAAAAAATGCAGTAGTGGTACCATGTGTCAAGCACTGTGTTGAAGTAGGGGAAACAGTGACATACACAGATCCTACACCAGAGTTTATGGTTTCACCTGCCATTATTGTTACAGGCTGAAGTTAGCCTTCTAGTGATGATGCTGAGATACCTGAAATGTATAGTGCAGAACTTCCCTATGCATAGAAACCTGATTCTTTATTACCCAGAATAACCCATTGCATCATGACCACAGCCTCTGCCATAGCCCCTGGCTTGGCTAGACAGTAGAATCCCCTGATCTAGCTGTTTTTTTCTTTTTTGCAAACAACTCAGTGCCTATTCCAAGTGTTTCCTTACCCAAAATGCTTGAGAGCATAAGTGTTTCAGATTTTGGATTTTTTCCAGATTTTTGAACATTTGCAAATACATGATGAGATATCTTGGGGATGGGACCCAAGTCTCAACACAAAATTCACATGATTCATAAACATTTTATACACATAGTCTGAAGGTATTTCATACAATATTTTACATAATACTGTGTATGAAACCAAGTTTTGCTTGCAACCTGTCACATGAGGTCAGGTGTAGAATTTTCTGCTTGTGGCACCAAGTTGGTCCCCCAAAAGTTTCAGATTAGAGATTTTCAAATTAGGGATACTCAACCTATATATAGTAATTGCCCTCTTTCAACTGTTGTCCCCACCACAAGTTAAGCATTAGAAATAGATACTTCATTATTTCATGGGTACCTGAGTGAAGGGGTTTATGGTTTCATATACTTTTTCTTTTAAAAGAAGGACTAGGATTATTCTAAGTATTATTGATTGTTCTCTCAGCATCTGGTCTTTTCTCCCATGATTGTGTCACACTGGACTCTGATTCATGCATCTAAAGGGGGTCTCACTTCTTTATACCCTTCAGTCCAGACTCCCTATGGCATGGGAGGTCCTTCACATCATGGCCACTGCCCATCCTAATGTGTGCATGGTGATCATCATTCCTCCCTGAGAACCACCATCTGCTGCACACTTTTCATGGTAATTGCACTGGCTTTTTGAGGTCCCACTCACTTACATAAGGTCCCGTCTGCCTCTGTGCCTTTTCTTATTCTATTTGCCCTCCCACCTTGAAAGGGTTTTTGAATTTACACATCAGATAGCAATTTTCTTAACATATCAACTTAATTCCATAATCTTACCACAAGTTAAAGACTGCTTGAGTTTGGAAACATCCAGAAATAGAATAGGATTTTACAGTTTCATTCCCTTATTCTTTTCAAGATAGGGTTGCAATTATAAGTTTCTGAGCATCCAGTCTTTTCTGCCATGATTCCTCCTATAAACTTACTAGCAGGTTAATTTCCTTAAAACAACTCCCTTCTTCATAGTGGACTCTGTTTGACAGTACACAATCAGTGCTGAGCTGCACAGTGTAATTTTGATGTATCAGGTAAGAGAAACCAAGAAGCTTGAGTAGTCTACCCAGGGTCCCACAACAACAGAGGCCGGATCCAAGAGGAAGGTGCCCAAAGAAATGCGATAGTTGGTATGGACACGACGAAAATCAGCTTCAGGGAGGTGAGCAGGTCAGAGAACAGCTTTCTGGTTGTGCTAATTGTATTATTTTCTCTAGTAAAAGGGAAGAATAATCAATATTAAGTATATATAAAGTTCAGGAACTTTGTCAGGTGTTTATACACTCCATAGTGTGGGACATTAGGTCCTATGTTCTTAGGGCAAGAGCCAGCAAGTGCCAAGTCAGCTATGATTTGGAACTTGATACATACAACAGGATAAATGATAAGCTCATTTCTCTACAAAGGCCAATGACTAGAGTCCTTTATTCACTAGGACAGTGAAACTTTGTTGAACCACATACAAAAATGAAGTTGAGTCATTTTTTTCCTACCATGATACTACTTTATAACTGAATGTGACAGTACATTTTAAAAGATCCCATTTATTTGACCCTGGGTTTTTTCTTTTAGGTATAATTTTAGCAGTTGTGTTTATCCGCATGAAGACAGATAAAGGCAAAGATAATGTTGAAAGTGCTCAAGCATCTGAAGTCAAACCTCTGAGAAGCTGAATTTGAAAAGGAATGTTTGAATTTATACAGCAAGTGCTATTTCAATAACGACCATCTCATCCTATTACTTTTCATCTAACATATGCATTATGCTTTTTTAAACAGATATTCCCTCTTGTCCTTTAATATTTACTAAATATTTCTTTTTTGAGATGGAGTCTTGCTCTGTCACCCAGACTGGAGTACAGTGGTGCGATCCTGGCTCACTGCAACCTCTGCCCCCTGGGTTCAAGTGATTCTCCTGCCTCAGCTTCCTGACTAGCTGGGATTAGAGGCACCTGCCACCACTCCCAGCTAATTTTTGTATTTTTAGTACAGATGGGGTTTCACCATCTTGGCCAGGCTGGTCTTGAACTCCTGACTTCAAGTGATCTGCCTGCCTTGGTCTCCCAATACAGGTGTGAACCACTGTACTCGCCTACTTAGATATTTTATGTGCTACATAGACATTAGAGATATTTTTCATTTTCCCATCTCTGGGAAATAGCTATTTCCCTCTCTGCAAATAGCTACTTGTGTTTTTCCCTTTTGGGGCAAGACAGACTCATTAAAAATTCTGTACAATTTTTCTTTATCAAGGAGGTATATCAGTTGTCTCCCATAGAACTTCCTGGATTCCATTTGTGTTTTTTTCTGATTCCATCCTGTGTCCCCTTCATCCTTGTGTCCTTTGGTATTTCACTGAATTTCAAACATTTGTCAGAGAAGAAAAAAGTGAAGACTCAGGAAAAAGAAATAAATAAAAGAACAGCCTTTTCCCTTAGTATGAACAGAAACACTTCTGTGTCATTAACTGTCTTTAACCAATGTGACATGTTGCTCTTTGGTTGAAATTCTTCAACTTGGAAATGACACAGACCCACAGAAGATGTTCAAACACAACCTACTCTGCAAACCTTGGTGCAGGAACCAGTCAGCTGGCCGGGTTTCCTCACTACCTGCCATGCATACATGCTGCGCATGTTTTCTTTATTTGTATGTTAATAAAGTTTTGGTTTTTATATATTTAACATGTGGAAGAAAACAAGCCATGAAAAGAGTGGTGACAAATCAAGAATAAACATTGGTTGTGGTCAGTTTTATTTGTTGATCTGCTGCTTCCTGTTTCCTTTTTATTTGTGGAGGGGAAGGACAGAATAACAATTGTTACTTTTTGTGTATAAAAATTGCCTCCCCAGCAGCCCCAGTCAGGGGCTTATAGATAAAACTCCCATCTCCCTGGACAGAGCACCTGGGGGAAGGGGCAGCTGTGGGCGCAGCTTCAGCAGACTTAAACATTCCTGTCTGCTGGCTCTGAAGAGCACAGCTAATCCTGATAAGGAAGATTCTCCCAGCACAGCACTGGAGCTCTGCTAACGGACAGACTGCCTCCTCAAGTGGGTCCCTGACCCCGCATGCCTCCAACCTGGGAGACACCTCATACAGGAGAGCTCTGGCTGGCATCAGGCTAGTGTCCCTCTGGGACAAACCTTCCAGAGAAAGGAGCTGCAGCAATCTCTGCTGTTCTGCAGCCTATGCTGGTGGTACCCAGGCAAACAGGGTCTGGAGTAGACCTCCAGCAAAGTCCAGAAGACAGGCCTGACTGTTAGAAGAAAAACTAACAAATAGAAAACAATAACATCAACAAAAAGGAGCCCCACACAAAAACCCCATCCAAAGGTCGTCAGCCTCAAAGACCAAAGGTAGATAAATCTATGAAGATGACAAAAAACCAGTGCAAAAATGCTGAAAATTCCAAAAACCAGAATGCCTCTTCTCCTCCAAATGATCACAACTCCTTTTCAGCAAGGGAACAAAACTGGATGGAGAATGAGTTTGACAAATTGAAAGACGTCAGCTTCAGAAGGTGGGTAATAACAACGTCCTGTGACCTAAAGGAGCATGTTCTAACCCAGCGCAGGGAAGCTGAGAACCTTAATACAAGGTTACAGAAACTGCTAACTAGAATAACCAGTTTAGAGAAGAACATAAACGTCCTGATGCAGTTGAAAAACCCAACACGAAAACTTCATGAAGCATACACAAGTATCAATAGCTGAATCAATCAAGTGGAATAAAGGGTATCAGAGATTGAAGATCAACTTACTGAAATAAGGCAAGAAGAGACAAGATTACAGAAAAATGAATGAAAAGGAACAAAGCCTCCAAGATATATGGGATGATGTGAAAAGACTAAACCCTAAACCTACGATTGATTGGTGTACCTGAAAGTGACAGGGAGAATGGAACCAAGTTGGAAAACACACTTCAGGATATCACGGAGAACTTCCCCAACCTAGCAAGACCTATCCTAAAGACAACATTCAAATTCAGGAACACTACTAAGATACTACTCAAGAGCAATCTCAAGACACATAATCATCAGATTCTCCAAGGTTGTAATGAAGGAAAAAATGTTTAAGGCAGCCAGCGAGAAAGTTCAGGTTACCTACAAAGGGAAGCGCGTCAGACTAACAGTGGATCTCTCTGCAGAAACCTACAAGCTAGAAGAAAGTGGGGCCAATATTCAACATTCTTAAATAATTTTCATTGCAGAATTTCATATCCAGCCAAACTAAACTTCATAAGTGAAGGAGAAATAAAATCCCTTCCAGACAAGCAAATGCTGAGCGATTTTGTCAACACCAGGCTTGTCTTACAAGAGCTCCTGAAAGAAGCACTAAATATGGGAAGGAAAAACTGACACCAGCCACTGCAAAAACACACCAAAATATAAAGACCAATGACACTATGAAGAAACTGCATCAACTAATGTGCAAAATAACCAGCTAGCATCATGGTGACAGGATCAAATTCACATATAATATAATATTAAGCGTAAATGTAAATGGGTTAAATGCTCCATTAAAAGACACAGCATGGCAAATTGGATAGAGTCAAGACCCATCAGTGTGCTGTATTCAGGAGACCCATCTCACATGCAAAGACACAAATAGGCTCAAAAGAAAAAAAAAAAGGATAGAGGAAAATTTACCAAGCAAATGGAAAGGAAAAACAAACAAACAAAAAAAAAAAAACAGGGGTTACAATCCTCGTCTCTGATAAAACAGACTTTAACAAAGATCAAAAAAGACAAAGAAGGGCATTACATAATGGTAAAGGGATCAATGCAACGACAAGAGCTAACTATCCTAAATATACGTACACCCAGTATGGGAGCACCAGATTCATAAAATAAGTTCTTAGAGACCTACAAAGAGACAGTGGGAGACTTTAACACCCCACTGTTAATATTAGATCAATGAGACAGAAAATTAACAAGGATATTCAAGACTTGAACTCAGCTCTGGAACAAGCAGACCTAATACACAACTACAGATAACTCTCCACCCCAAACCGACAGAATATACATTCTTCTCAGCACCACATAGCACTTATTCTAAAATTGACCGCAAAATTGGGAGTAAAGCACTCCTCAGCAAATGCAAAAGAATGGAAATCATAACAAAGTCTGTCTGACCACAGTGTGATCAAATTAGAACTCAGGATTAAGAAACTCACTCAAAACTGCACAACTACATGGAAACTGAACAAGCTGCTCCTGAATGACTACTGGGTAAATAACGAAATGAAGGCAGAAATAAAGATGTTCTTTGAAACCAATGAGAACAAAGATACAACATACCAGAATCTCTGGGACACATTTAAAGCAGTGTGTAGAGGGAACTTTACAGCACTAAATGTCCACATGAGAAAGCAGGGAAGATCTAAAACTGACACCCTAACATCACGATTAAAAGAACTAGACAAGCAAGAGCAAACACATTCAAAAGCTAGCAGAAAGCAAGAAATAAGATCAGAGCAGAACTGAAGGAGACAGAGACATGAAAAACCCTTCAAAAAAATCAGTGAATCCAGGAGCTGTTTTTTTTTTTTTGAACAGATTAACAAAATAGATAGACAACTAGCCAGACTAATAAAGAAGAAGAATCAAATAATAGACACAACAAAAAATGAGAAAGGGTATATCACCACTGATCCCACAGAAATACAAACTACCATCAGAGAATACTATAAACATCTCTTCACAAATAAACTAGAAAATCTAGAATAGATAGATAAATTCCTGGACACATACACCCTCCCATGACTAAAGCAGGAAGAAGTTGAATTCCTGAATAGACCAATAACAGGCTCTGAAATTGAGGCAGTAATTAATAGCCTACCAACCGAAAAAAGTCCAGGATCAGACGGATTCACAGCCGAATTCTACCAGAGGTACAAAGAGGAGCTGGTACCATTCCTTCTGAAACTATTCCAAACAAGAGAAAAAGAAGGACTCTTCCCTAACTCATTTTATGAGGCCAGCATCATCCTGATACCAAAACCTGGCAGAGACAACAAAATTTCAGACCAATAGCCTGATGAACATTGATGCAAAAATTCTCAATAAAATACTGGCAAAATCCAGAAGCACATAAAAAAGCTTATCTACCACGATCAATTTGGTTTCATCCATGGAATGTAAGTCTGGCTCAACAAACATGAATCAATAAACATAATCCATCACATAAACAGAACCCATGACAAAAACCACATGATTATCTCAATAGATGCAGAAAAGGCCTTCAATAAAGTTCAGTATCCCTTCCTGCTAAAAACTCTCAATAAACTAGGGATTGGTGGAACATCTCAAAATAATAAGAGCTATTTATGATAAACCCATAGCCAGTAGCATACTGAATGGGCAAAAACTGGAAGCATTCTCTTTGAAAACTGGCACAAGACAAGGCTGCCCTCTCTGACCACTCCATTTCAACATAGAAGTTTTGGCCAGGGCAACATGGAAGTTTTGGCCAGGGCAATCAGGCAAGAGAAAGAAAGGGTATTCAAATAGGAAGAGAGGAAGTCAAATTATTCCTGTTTACAGATGATATGATTGTATATTTAGAAACCCCACTGTGTCAGCCCGAAAACTCCTTAAGCCAATAAACAACTTCAGCAAAGTCTCAGGATACAAAATCAGTGGGCAAAAATCACAAGCATTCCTCTACACCAATAATAGACAAGCAGAGAGCCAAAACATGAGTAAACTCCTATTCACAACTGCTGCAAAGAATAAAATACCTAGGAATACAACTTACAAGGGACATGAAGGACCTCTTCAAGGAGAACTACAAACCACTGCTCGAGGAAATAAGAGGACACAAATAAATGGAAAACTATTCCATGCTCATGGATAGGAAGAAACAATATCGTGAAAATGGTCATACTGACCAAAGTAACTTACAGATTCAATGCTATTCCCATCAAGCTACCATTAACTTTCTTCACAGAATTAGAAAAAACTACTTTAAATTTCATACGGAACCAAAAAAGAGCCCGTGTACCCAAGACAATCCTAAGCAAAAAGAACAAAGCTGGAGGCATCATGCTACCTGACTTCAAACTATACTTCAAGGATACAGTAACCAAAGCAACATGGTACTGGCACCCAAATAGAGATATATACTAATGGAACAGAACAGAGGCCTCAGAAATAACACCACACATCTACAACCATCTGATTGTTCACAAACCTGACAAAAACAAGCCATGGGGAAACGATTCCCTATTTAATAAATGGTGCTGGGAAAACTGGCTAGTCAAATGCAGAAAACAGAAACTGGACCCCTTCCTTACACTTTATATGAAAATTAACTCAAGGGGGATTAAAGCCTTAAATGTGTAACCTAAAACCATAAAATCTCTGGGAAAACTTAAGCAATACAATTCAGGACATAGGCATGGGCAAAGACTTCATAACTAAAACACCAAAAGCAATTGCAACAAAAGCCAAAATTGACAAATGGGATCTAATTAAACTAAAGAGCTTCTGCACAGGAAAAAAAAAACACAAACAACAACAACAACAAGAACTATCAGAGTAAGCAGGCAACCTACAGAATGTGAGAAAATTTTTGCAAGCTACCCATCTGACAAAGGCCTAATATCCAGAATCTACAAGGAACTTAAACAAGTTTACAAGAAAAAAACAACTCCATCAAAAAGTGGGCAAATGATACGAACAGACACTTCACAAAAGAAGACATTTATGTGGCCAAACAAACATATGAAAAAGAGCTCATCATTACTGGTCATTAGAGAAAT